TTTTTATGTGTGTGCGTGAATGGATTCGATATGCACATGTATATGTGTAGTTATACGTGTATATATATATATATATAGAGAGAGAGAGAGAGAGAGAGAGAGAGAGAGAGAGAGAGAGAGAGAGACAGAAAAAGAGAGAGAGAGAGAGAGACATACTGCTCGGAGGGAGGCACGTGGGGCGAAAAACCCAGGGCCTGGCGCTGGATCCCCCCTTCCTGGTGCGCGGCGCGCGCCGGCGACGGCTCGCTGAGGGCACTTCTCTCTGCAGTGCGATCCGGGCTTCCCCCCTGGGCCGCGCACAGGCCGCCGGCCATGACTTGCGCCCCCCCCCCTCTTGCACGCCCCCTCCTTGGACGCCCCCGACACCCGCGCCGACCTGCGAAAGCTCGTGCTTCTGCCCTGGTGTCCCTTGAAAAACGCACGGGGACTCCCTGATAGCGTGCCGTTCCGCCGGTTCTGGCCCGCCGCGGTTGCTAGCGGCACGCTGTCCACTTCGCTGCCCCGAGGCGTCCTCGCCCCAAGCAATTTCCTGGCCCGCCGCCCCGTGGAGCGGGGCGGCGCGCTATCACCAGGCAAGGCATCGCGTGTCGCTGGCGCCGCCGTGGAGACACGCTGTCCAAAAGCTCCCGACCGTTGGGAGCGAGGACAGGAAGAGGCTGCTCAGAGTTCCGGGCCGCTTCCTCGGGACCGGCGCTTCCTTCCAAGCTGACTTCCGGCGGCGCTCGCAGCCTTGCGAGGGCTTCCAGAGGCAAGAGGCGGCCAAAAGCCGTCCCCCCTGATTCCTTCACCGCGCGAGGGTGCCAAGGAAGGGCAGCAAGAGGAGGAAACGAGGTGGAGGAGGAGGAGGAGGAGGAGGAGGAGGAGGAGGAGGAGGGGCAGGCGCCCGAAGTCCCCCTCCAGGTGTTGGAGGAGATCTCAGCGGGTCCCTCCCCCTGGAGGGTGCCTGGCGCACCTCCCACAGCAGGCACGCGTCAAAGCAGAAGCCCGCCTTCCAGCAGACGCGCCACGGAAGGTCGCCTCATCCCGCGACGGCCCCGGGCACCCACAGAAGCCCCAGGGCACCTCAGGAAGTCCAAGGATCACAAAGACCGTGCCCCTAGATTCCTTGAGGTCGGACGAGGTATAAGATCGAGGTCGGGTCGAGGAGGGTATCCTCATGTTCTTCGTGCTTGTTGGATGTGCTTGTGCATCTGCATCCTAGGGGAGAGTACTCTGGGTGATCTTTACGGATTTGGGCGTTTTGGCGGCGGAGGGCCTCAGGTTCTTGAAGGATGTGAGTTTGTCCTAGGTCTGGCCGCAAAGCCAGATTTATTATATCGTATTTACCTACTGTGCTCCAGTTCGCCACCCCTGGCCTTTCTGCTGCCCCCCCCCCAGCGGTGAAGGCCGCTGGGGGGAGGGGAGGAGGGGGAACTGCGCTTCGTGGAGCACCAAAGCTTGCAGGGAGGAGGAGCAGTGGGAGGTAGAGGACGAGGAGGCGGAGGTGGCGGAGGAGGAGGAGGAGGAGGAGGAGGAGGAAGAAGAGGAGGAGGACGAGCAGGGGGAGGGGGAGGAGGAGGAGGAGGAGGAGGAGGAGGAGGAGGAGGAGGAGGAGGAGGAGGAAGAGAAGAGGAGGAGAGAGGAGGAGGAGAGGAGGAGGAGGAGGAAGGTAGGAGGAGGAGGGAAGGAGGAGAGGAGGAGGAGGAGGAGGATGGAGAGGGAGGAGGGATGGAGGAGAAGAGGAGGGAGGGGGGGAGGAGAAAGAGGAGAAAGGAGAAGGAGGCGGAGGAGGAAGTAAGGAAGGAGGAAGGAAGGAAGGAGGAGAGAAGGAGGAGAAGGAGGAGGTGGAGGAGGACAAGAAGGAGGAGGAGGAGGGAAGGAAGGACAGGAAGGAGGAAGGTAGGAAGGGAAGGAAGTATGAAGGGGTAATGAGGAAGGAATGTGAGGAATAGGAGGAGGAGGACGAGGAGGAGGAGGAGGAAGAAAAGGGGAGGAGGGGGAGGAGGAGGAGGAGGAGGAGGAGGAGGAGGAGGAGGAGGAGGAGGAGGAGGAGGAGGAGAAGGAGAAGGAAGAGGAGGGGAGGAGGAGGGAGGAGGAGCAGGAGGAGGGGAAGAGGCAGAGGAGGAGGAGGGTGCATGAGGAGGAGGAGGCTGAGGAGAAGGAGGAGGAGAAAGAGAAGGGGGGAGGAGGGAGGGAGGGAGGAGGGTGGAGGGGGAGGGAGGAGGGAGGAGAGGGAGGGGGAGGAGGGGAGGAGGAGAGAGGGAGGAGGAGGAGGAGGAGGAGGAGGGGGAGGAGGAGGAGGAGGAGGAGGAGGAGGAGGGAGGAGGAGGAGGAGGAGTTGGAGGAGGACGGGGACGAGGAGGAGGAGGAGGAGGAGGAGCAGGAGGAGGAGGAGGAGAAGCAGGAGGAGGAGGAGGAGGGGAAGGAGGGGGATGGGGAGGAGTGGGGTCTAGAGGGAGAGGCGCTTCGCCGTTCGGTCATTCCCTCTTCTCTCTCCACCTCCTTGGTCTTACCCTACAGTCGGACCGAAGTATCATATAGCGGTAGGTCCCGGGAGCGTGCCCTACTGCTTTTCGTGTTTGTTGGATTCTCTTGTACATCCTGGGGGAGGGTACCCTCAAGTGCTCGTCATTTTGGCCGGCGGAGGGTCTCATGTTTTGGATGGATGTTATTCTGGCCCAGATCCAACTGTACCCTCCCTCTCCCAGGCACAGGCTGGGGGGTGGGCCATCGAGGACATCGGGGCATCGCATCGCTCGGACACGTCGCCTGAGATCCGACGTCGCCGAAGCACTGCAGCACCGGCAACAAAATCGTCAGCCTCGGCCCCCCGACCCCATCCTCTCGAGCCAGATCGCTCTGTGCTGGCCCCGGGCCGCCCGACGAGGAGGGGCGGCAGCGCCCGGCGCGAGGAGACACCGCCGCGCCAGGACCTCGGGGCTCTCCGCCGCTCGCAGCTCGCGGTGGCAGGAGCCGCTCGGGCGCTCTCGGAGGGCCGAGGGCGGGCTCCTCGCCTCGGCGGCCTCGCTGCCGCGCACCGCGCTGGCCGCCCGCCCCGCGGCGCGCGCGCCGGAGGAGCGGCCCGCCGGCGGGGCCGTGCGGCGGCGCTCCGTCGGCGAGGCGCTGGCGCGGCGGGCGTCGTTCAGCGGCGGCTTCGGCGAGCAGCTGCGGCGGGCCTCGTTCAGCGTGCAGGCGGCGGGCTGCCGCCTGCCGCCGCCGGCCTGCGGCCGCCGCCCGCCGCGGCCGCTGCGGCCGTGGGCGGCGCGGCGGCGCTGGGGAGGGTGCCTCCTCTCGGCGGGCTCGGCGCGGGGAGGCGTATGAGGGGGGGGGGGAGCGGGAGCGGCGGCCTGCTGGGGGCTTTTCGGGAGAGGGGGAGGGGGAGTGAGTGCCGGGGGGGGGGAGGGGCGCAGGGTGGTGATGGTTGCTGCTGCTCCGTGCTCGAGGTCGACGGTTTTTTTTGTCGTCAGGTTTTGGGGGTCCGCTTCTTGGGGGCCCGTTTGGGCAGTCTCGTTTGCGCCGATTTTGGGCTCGGTTGCATGTCGCACTGCCGTTGTGTTTCTGTTTTGGGCTACCGTTGTTTGTTTTCGAATTGGTTTTCCCGAAAACCGAAGCAATTCAACACTGTAACGTCCCCAGCGTTTTTATCAGCACTTGCGGTCGGGAACGTTTGGCTAGCATGTCGCGCCGCCAGTTCTGGCCCACCACGCTTCGGCGCGACACGCTACCCACTTCCCAGCCCCTGGCTGTGAACGTCCCGCGCTTTCCCGAGCCCGCCCCGCGAGGCGACACGCTATCCGCTCGCAAGGCACAGCTTGTCGCAGGGGCCGCCGTGGCGACACGGAGCCTGCGAAAGGGGTCGACAGATCCCCCGTTAGAGAGGCTCGACAGGCGCTGCCGTGCATCCTGGCGCGGCCGCTCCGCTTCGATGCCAGCTCCGTGGCGGTGCGGCCCGATCCATGCTCGTGCCGATCCGATCCGAGTCCCCGATCTGACGCTCGCTCCGGTCTGGTGCTGGGGGGAGGAGGTGGTAGGGGGGAGGCTGAGAAGGGAGTCGGACGGGCCTAGAATCAAAATAAATCCATCCCAGAGCGTTCTGGAGCGCGCTCAGAGCGTTCTGGAACGTTCTGAAGCGGCCGAAGAGCCCGAGGCATCCTCCAAGCCCGCCGATTTTCAGAAATTTCGTTAATGGTCCCGATGTTGTCTCGATTCGGCCTGCGTCTTAGGAGGAAGGAGTATAGAGGCAGGTTGAGGGAGGAGGGGCAATGGGAGGAGGACGAGGAGGCGGAGGAGGAGGAGGAGGAAGAGGAGGGGGAGGAGAAGGAGGAGGAGGAGAAGAAGGAAGGAAGGAAGGAAGGAAGGAAGGAAGGAAGGAAGGAAGGAAGGAACGAAGGGAGGAGGGGAGGAGGAGGAGGAGGAGGAGGAGGAGGAGGAGGAGGAGGAGGAGGAGGAGGAGGAGCAGGAGGAGGAGGAGGAGGAGGAGGAGGAGGAGGAGGAGGAAGGAGTAGGAGGAGGAGGGCGGAGGAGGAGGCCGAGGCGGAGGAGGAGGAGAGAGGAGGAGGAGGAGGAGGCGGAGCGGGAGGCGGAGTCGACGGCGGAGGCGGAGGAGGAGGAGCAGCAGGAGAAGCAGCAGCAGGGGGGGAGGAGGAGCTAGGAGGAGGAGGAGGAGGAGGAAGAGGAGGAGGAGGAGGAGGAGGAGGAGGAGGAGGAGGAGAGGAGGAGGAGGAGGAGGAGGAGGAGGAGGAGGAGGAGGAGAAGGAGGAGGAGGAGGAGGTGAAGGAGCAGCAGGAGGAGGAGGAGGAGCAGCAGCAGCAGGAGGAGGAGGAGGAGAAGATTGATTCGCTGGAGATTCGCTCGCTCCGTCGCCGCCCAGAGCCGAGGCCGCGGGGCCCTGACGCGACGCGCGGTGCGCGCGGGGAGGCGGGGGAAGCAGAGGAGCAAGAGGAGAACAGGGAGCAGGGAGAAGGGGGACAGAGCAGGGCTCACTTCGACCCCCCCGATCCGATCCGATTCGACCTCGATATGGCTTCCGGAGCCCCGATCCGGTCCGACCCCGGAGTCCGATTGGGGCTCCGATTTTTTTTATGGGGGCCTGTGAAACTGCCGATTCCCGCCGATCCGACTTCTCCCGACTCGGCTGTCGATTTCCGCCGATCCGAATCATCTCGATAGCCGACCCGACTTAATCAATTCGATTCTGAGAAGGGGGACAGAAAGAGAGAGAGGCGTAAGGCAGATGGGAGGGGTGGAGAGAGAAGTGGAGGAGGGACGTTATGATAAAGAGAAGCATTGCAACAACAAGGACAGATGTGACACCCGACCCGCCCTCGAAATTGATGCCGACTTTGGCATGAGTGGTGGTTTGGGGGCTCGAATCTGTCCACCCATGCCCCTTTTTTCCAGTGCCGCACCCTCATGAACATTCAGTTTGGGGGTCCGGGGGGGGGATCTGCACCGCAGGGTTCGACCTGCCTCCCTCCCCAGACCCCCGACGTCATGGGTGTGCGTAGCACGATAATGACGTGCTGAGGCTTTTCGTGTGTCGGGCCCCGAATACCCCTCCATGTCCACCTAAACGGTAACCGTCTCAGCCTGACAGTCTTCTGCAACGCTGTATATGCAACCGTTTGTGCTCAAGCCTCGCTTTTCTTCATCAGAAGGTTGCGATGCGCACCGCCCTGGCCGTGCTGAGGCTGCTCGCGTCGCTGGAGCAGCGGAGCCGCGAGTCTGGCGGGCTGCTCGGGCGCGCGCAGTTGCTCGGGCGCCCGCAGGAGGTCGCCGAGAACCTCTCGGAGAACGCGCGGGTTGTGGCCAAGTGCCCGCCGTCGCTGACGGCAGAGTGCCCCCGCGCCCCGTTTGGGGCCTGTCCCGCGGAGGCGGAGTCGGGGCCCACCTTGGTGGGCGAGATCGCGGGGCACCAGGCGGCGGCGCTCATCGGGCAGCTGGGTGACGCCAGCTGCGTCGAGGTGTTGGCGAGGAGGTTGCCCGAGGGGTGGTTCCTGGAGCAGCGCGGCGGGTCGTTCTCGGCCGCGGAGTTCGCATGTGAGCGGGTCCCAGAGCGGTCGGTAGGGCTGAAGGACGCGGAGGCGGATGAGGACCTGTATCAGGAGCGGGTGCTGCCTGGGCCCGTCGGCGTCGGCGGCTCGGGACAGAGCACGATCTGGCGCGGCTTGACGCCCGATCTCATGGATTGCGAGGAGCAGTACGGCGAAGGGAACATGGATGTGAAGCAGTTCGTGGGGATGAGCAGCGACGTGGAGGTGCCTCGACCTTCGCGGGAGTACTTCTACAAGTTCGACCCCGAGGACTACCCGACCAGGTGGAGGATGCGGCGGGAGCTATCGTCGAGCATGGCGGCTTACGAGGAGCTGAGGGTCGCGACGCCTGCCGATCCGCGGACGCTGTCGGCCGAAGGCGGGAGTGTGCCCACCCGACGCCTGCCGTTGCGAGGAGCCGCCCATGGCGCCCGTGCTGAGGACGTGGCAGTGGTCGCTGACGACGGGTCTCGGACCCCGCCGCTAGAGGCGCCCGAGGATCATAGCTGGAGGATTGCGGAGGTGGAGAACGACGACTACCACGGCGGGGACACGATCGAGCTGCGAGAGGGGGACATCACACACAGCAAGGGCGTCGGTTTCGGCTACGTTAAGGGCGTTTATTCGAAGGTGATTTTGATGAGACGGTCGGAGACCGAGGCTTTCAAGAAGCGCGGGCTGGCGGCTGACCAGGAGGAGGATGTCTGCAGTGGCCAGGCCGCCCCGAACTGGAGGCTCGCGAACGAGTACGAGGGCGGGGGGTCAGGGCTCGAGGCGGTGGACTCTGGACTCCGCTCGAGAGGGGTCCGCCGCCACGAGGACGAGCACGACAGCTACGTGACCAGGACCAAGGCCCTGAGCGGCGGCGCTATGCCCGAGGAGGCGGAAGACCAAGTTGGAGGGGACGCCGGCGACGGCCGCGGTCGCGGTCGAGGTCGTGGGCGCGCAGAAGGACGCGGGACAGCACGTGGAGGGCGTGGTGTGCCCGCGGGGACGCCATGATGATGGAGACGGGCCGCGACGAGAAGTCCCCGCGTCGCGGCCTGTTGAGCGTTGGGGACGGGCCGTGCCAGGCGGCCCCAGGGAGGCGGCGGCTCTTTCCGCTCCCTCCCTTGCATGTCGACCCAGTTTGCAGGGTCGGGCGATCCAAGAAGCAGCAGCGGAGGGATCGCGCTCGCGAGGTTCTTCCCTCGCTGGTGGCGGAGGCTACCGATGCACTTAATTGGATGAGCGGGCACCGCGTCGACGACACGGAGGGCGGCTTCGCGACGACCTTCGGCCTGGCGTCGGAGATGGCGGATTCTACGAGACGTTACCTGGAAGGGCTGGCCCAGCTCCAGCAGCCCAGTAGCGAGAAGGCTCGACATCTCACCACGGAGGCGGCCCTGATGGAGTTGCTCCGAGGGAGGGGCGGTGGGTGCACCGACGCTGACCCCTCCTCAACGGCTCTGGCCCCTTTCAGGCATGACCTGGTGTCACTGCCCTCGAACACAAATGACTGTAAGATGATCGAGGAGCTCGTTGGCGCCCGAGGTCGGTACTTTCTGGAGGGGGAAGGAGAGCGAATGCGCCTGGCTGCTGATGAACAATTAACTGAGGCTCAGTTGCATGATATTCCTTGCTACGTTGATCCCGCCCTGACGCGGAATCGGAGGAGGTACGTTCGCTTTTTGAAGGATCTGCACGGCAGGGGGCTCGTGAAGTTCTCGACGCGTTGTCGCGAGAAGGTCGGGCTGTTCTTCGTGAAGAAGAAGTCGGGGCAGCTCAGGATGATACTGGATGCCCGCAGGACGAACGCGCATTTTCGACCTCCCCCACACGTGAGTCTCCTGACTGCTGAGGGCCTCGGTAACATCGAGGTCGAGGGGGACCTGGGGGGCGCACCGCAGCTAGCGGTCGGAACCGTGGACGTCTCCGACGCCTTCCACCGCATGAAGATGCCCGATTACCTGTGCGAGTACTTTGGCCTCCCGTCGGTGTTGGCATCGGAGCTCGGGGTGCATCGCGTGCAGGGTGTCGAGGTGGAGCCTAGCTCAGAGGTGGTGCCGCTAGCGGCCGCGCTGCCCATGGGGTTCACTTGGTCGCTCTTTTTCGCCCAGGACATCGACGAGGAAGCCACCGCCGCGGTGATCGACAGGTGTGAGCTGCTGGTGGATCACGGGCGGCCTTTGCTGCTTCGCTGCCTCCGAGACGGGGCTCAGATCCGGCACTACGTGTACGTGGACAACGTGGGCGTGTTCGGCGGGGGGCGAAGAATAGTCGAGGAGACCATGGAGCGCCTGGTGAGTAGCTTCGAGTCCCGCGGGCTCAATACGCACGAGCTGGAGATCACGGAGGGAGAGATCGAAGCCCTGGGCGTGGTGCTGGACGCCAACCGCCGCCACACCCGCCTTAGCTGTAAGCGTTTCTGGCGGCTTCGGCAGGGGATACGCGGGCTGCTTCGGCGTAGACTCGTGAGTGGGCAGGCCGTCGAGATCGTGGTCGGCCACTGCACCTTCGCGGGACTGATACGGCGGGAGTCACTCACCTGCTTCAGCGCCGTCTACAGCTTCATACAGAGCAACTACTACGCGCCCGTTGAGCTCTGGACGAGCGTTCGGCGGGAGCTGAAGTGCTTTCTGGGCCTGATGATCACGCTGGTGGCGTCGTGGGAGCTGGACTGGAACGGCATTGCCTGCGCCACGGACGCCTGCGAGGAGGGCTTCGGCGTATGCTTGCGCTCGCTGGGGGTCAGTACTACCTCCCGCTATGGGCGAGTGCGTGAGCGTGATCGTTTCAGGCACCCTGGGCACGTCCGTGCCCGTGAGGCCGCTTTGCTCGATTCGTGCCCGCTCCTGCACCGTGACAGCCTCGAGGCCCTTGGGGCTGTAGGAGCCCAGGGGCTCGAGGCCTCTGCCGAGTTCGAGGAGATATCGGCCTCCGATTTGGCCGAGGATGCCTGGTACGTGTGCGGGGGATGGCCTTTCGTTTTTGAGGAAAATATTCTCCTGCTCGAAGCCCGCGCCTTGCTTATCGGCGCCGAGCGCATTCTCCTCTCTCGCCCAGGCCGCAATCTCAGACAGCTCCTGTTCTGTGATAATCTCGCGCTTGTGCTCTGCTGTGACAGATATCGCACCAGAAACTACAAGCTTTTGTTGATCCTTAGGAAGCTTGCGTGTCTATGCCTCGCCAGGAATGTCCGCCTCACTGTCAGGTGGATCCCCTCGGAGCGAAACCCCGCGGACTGGCCCTCTCGGCTTTTTTCGTGCCCGCCGTCCCAGGGGACCGCCAAAGGGCCTCGTGAGAGTCCTGGTGAGGTTTCTTTTCTTGCCCCCCCCGCGTCGATCAAGGGGGAAGGTCAGCGTAGTTTTTTGAGAGCACGAAGTTTAACAAGTGACATGGAGGGGGAAAGGGAGCGAGACCATAGCCCTCGTATCGCACCCCATCGACGTCTTTTGAAGCTAGCCGAGTGTCTCTGGCCTCGTGGTGGGGCCCCCGAGCGCCCTAGAGTCGTGAGGCTTTTCGATTTTCTTCCTCAGGTTGAGTCTGGTCGAGAGCACGTGCATCCGCCCTGCCCCCCGTCGGCAGGCGCTTTGGCTCAAAGAGCGCCTAGCATCCATAATGCACGTTTCATACGCCTTTCTGATTGTATCCCTGTTCCTTCTCCGTCCGCCGCCCATGGGCGGCTCGGGCCGACCTCGTGTTGTCGGGACGCTGGCAGGAGGTGCGGCGGACTGGCCGACGCCGAGGGCACCCGCCGCGCCGAGGCGGCGCAGGCGGACGCTGGCCCGCAGCCGCGCGGCGGTCGCAGCAGGACAGAGCCGCGGGCTGGTCAGGGTTCGTGGATGTCGCGGGACGCGGCGGGACGCGGGAGTCCCCGCAGCCCCACCTCGGCTGGTCGATCAGTCGGCCGACTGTCGCGGCATCCTAAGGCCAGACACCAGTGGCTCGGCCCAGAAGCGCGGCGCGCTGTCCGACTCCATTTCGAGCGAGTCCGACGCGTCGGGCGAGCGCTCCGATCGTGCCCGCCGACCAGAGCGTCGCGTCAGGCGGCGCCTAGAGGGCTGGCTGCAGAAGGTGCTGGAGTGGGACACGCAGCTGCACGGGCTCGATATGCTGGAGCGGCGCGCCGTGGGGGTCCGCACCGAGAAGGCGCACGTGAAGGAGCTCACATCGTCTGCGGAGTGGGTCGAGGCCGACCGAACTCAGGAGGTGGACACCAGTTGCCTGGACGAGCTTCTGGTGATGTACTTCGAAGAGCTGGGGCTGGAAGGGGAGGCCCCGTCCAAAGGAACGAGGGACATTGCCTCGGCCAAGCACGTGATGCCGCATGTCGGGAAGGTCGGGCGCCAGGGCTGGCCTCGCAGCTGGTGGACGCTCATGGGCGGGGTCAACGTGGCTCCGCCTCGGGCTCGCGTCCCTCAAACCCTCGCAGTCTGGACAGCCATCATCAGCGGCCTGGTTCAGGACGGAAGGCTCGAGATGAAACTGGCGCTGCTCGTGATGTGGAGCACGTGCTGCAGGGCTGGGAGTCTGCTGGCCATGCGTCCCGACGACTTCATAGCCCCGAACTCCGTGGCGGGCCTGTGGGGAGTGACGCTGGGCCCGTACGAGGAAGGAGTTGCCAACGAGGTGAGCATGTTCGTCCAGAGCTGCCTGCTGGACCACTCTTTCTGGCTGTCGCTCCACCCACTGTTGAAGGCCCTCGAGTCGCGGACGGATGGGGAGTGTCTCTGTCTTTCCAGCTGCCCCGAGCTGGCCCGCTCGTTCAAGACCGTGGCAAGCCGCCTCAAGTTCGAGGGGGTACCATACCAGGCTCGGCACTCAGGAGCCTCCCGCGCCCGCTTCCGCGGGCTTCGGGACATGGCGGCCGTCAAGCGTCGCGGCGGCTGGGAGACATACAGGAGCTTTCAGAGGTGCGAGAAGCACGCTTGGATGAGCATGTCCTGGGAGAGGCTGAGCGAGAATTTCAAGGCGCACACAAAGCTGTGCGAAGCTCGGCTCGAGGGAGCGCCCTTAGACGGGCAGGCCGTGCCCGTTTTCCCTTGAGCCGCGGCGTCGTGTCGCGCTGGATTTGCGTGTGGGGACCGCACAGTCGACAGATCGGGCGTTTGTTTCGCGCGTCAGGTTTCAAAGTCAGATGCTTGGAAGGTGACCGTCCCGACGCACTGTCCGCCAGATCCTTAGTGTGCGACCTCCAGCGTAAGCGTCTCCTAGGTGTTTTGATTGAGTCAGGTTTCAGCGCTTGCCACATGTCGCATGTCCAACGAGTCATGCGAGCGGCCGCCAAAGCGTCTGTGCCTTGGCTCGTCTTGCACTATGACACCTCAGCCACGCTGAGGCCAGCCTTGCACAAGTTTTCTGCCTGCGCTGCCGCTCGAGTAGATAACACACTCAGTGCTTTCGGCAGCCATCATCGTCTGCCGTGGGTAGTTTTATGTGGAGGGATCTCATCTCGAGATCTCGACGGGCTGCGGATCCATGGACCTCGAACCAGAAGGCACCCAGGCCCTCTGTGTTTGACCAGTTTTAAAATGCCCGTCTCTCTCGCTCGCTCGCTCGCGGTCGCCCTTTTATCCCCCATAAGGTCCCTTTATCTAAATGTGTGAACTGGCCCACGCCAGCTTTGGGACAGAATTGGGGAGTGGAGCATTTTGTGTCTGCCGTGCACGCTTGCCAGTCCGCACGCGTTTTGCCCGTGCACGCTTGCCAGTCCGTGTCCACATTCGTTTTGCCCGTCAGACTCCTGTCGGCAGTCCAGGCGGCGCTATGACTGCCAGAGTAAGTTACACAGATGCATTAGCCGCTAGAAAACGGATCGTCTCGTCATGGGTGTGCGTAGCACGATAATGACGTGCTGAGGCTTTTCGTGTGTCGGGCCCCGAATACCCCTCCATGTCCACCTAAACGGTAACCGTCTCAGCCTGACAGTCTTCTGCAACGCTGTATATGCAACCGTTTGTGCTCAAGCCTCGCTTTTCTTCATCACCCACCCTCGTGCCGCCCATAGTCAGGGGAGTGGAGCATTTTGTGTCTGCCGTGCACGCTTGCCAGTCCGTGTCCACATTCGTTTTGCCCGTCAGACTCCTGTCGGCAGTCCAGGCGGCGCTATGACTGCCAGAGTAAGTTACACAGATGCATTAGCCGCTAGAAAACGGATCGTCTCGTCATGATTTTTTCATTACGTCGACCCCCAGAGGTCCCGACCCTTTCCCCATGACCGGCTTTGCATCCTGAGTCGTTTTTCGACGCTCCCGAGGCCCGGTGGGGGCCCCCAGAGGCCGAAAATAGTGAAAAACTTCCCGTCGTGATTTTTTCACGACGCGAGGGGGTCTGGGTCCTGCGCCTCCTGCGCCTCGGCGCCCGCCCCGCCGGTGCCGCCCCTCGCCGCGAGAGGTGGGCAACACGCTGTCCGGCTGCGAGACCTTCGCGGAGGCCCTCGCCGCAGGCGCCCCCCGCGCGCGGGCCCCGCGCGGTGGGCGCCTGCTCCTCCTCTTCCTCCTCCTCCTTCTCCTCCTCCCTCCTCCTCCTCTTCCTCCGCCTCCTCTTCCTCCTCCTCCTCCTCCTCCTCCTCCTCCTCATCCTCCTCCCCTCTCCTCCTCCTCCTCCTCCTCCCCCCTGTTCCTCATCCCCCTCCTCCCTCCTCTCCTCTCCTCCTCCTCCTCCTCCTCCTGCCTCCTCTCCTCCTCCTCTTCCTCCTCCTCCTCCTCCTTCTCCTCCTCTCCTCCTCCTCCTCCTCCTCCTCCTCCTCCTCCTCCTCTCGGGCCGGACGAAAGGGGGGGGGACATGGAAAGGGGGCTTACGAAGTCTGCTGCATGCAGCTGGTTTCGGCCCCGCTGCAGGGCCCGTTCCTCGATACACATGGGTGCCTCCCGGCGCTGGAAGGCGCCGGAAGAATCAGCTACGTTAGCTGATTCTCAACCCCCCCTTTGCTATCCCCCCCTTTCGCCTGGCCCGATCCTCTCGGGACGATCTCGGGGCTCATGAGACCCAGACCTCCTCGAGTTATCCGAGCGTTTTCTTCAGGTGGAGGGCAAAGGGTGACATTTGAAGTGCCGTTTCGATTGATTTTCGAGGCTTGAATCTGCAAAAGGTGAATCACAAGAAGGATTGATTGTTGAGGTGCAACAGCCCCGATGGATTTCACCCTGAGCCTTCCACCCTAAGAAAATGCCCAGGTTTTTGCTATGTTCGGCCCTCGGGAGTGTCAGAAAACGGCTCAGGATGAAAAACCGGTCCCGGGGAAGGGGTCCAGACCCCTATAGGGGCCGACGTGATGACAAATTCATGTTGTCGGGGCTCAAGGGGCGGGGGTCAATGCAGACAGGGGTTAGCCAGAGCGCCCGATCTTGCAGGATCCTGCAGGGCCAGGGTCGCATCAATACCCGGGCTTGGGCGCAGTATATCCTGCAGGATCTTGCAGGATCCTGCGCATGGACCCGGGCTTGGGCGCAGGTCTTGCAGGATTCTGCAAGGTCTGACTGACCCGGGACGATCCCCGACAATCTCAGACGAGGCGGAGTTCCCGCCCGTCTCTTCGGGGCTTCTGGGGCACCGCAACCGTTCGCCATCGGGGAAGCGGGTCCTGATGGAAACGAAGCGGGTCCGGAGTTTTGGTTCGCCGCTTTCGGGCCCCACGGGGCCCTCCACGGGCCCCGGGATGGTCAGAGAACGACTCGGGATGAAGAGCTCGTCCTGGGGGCAGGTCCCAGGAGTCCACGGACCCGCTTCCCTCAGGACCTGTGCCCCCCCATGCCGAGACCCAGACCCCCGACGTCATGATTTTTTCATTACGTCGACCCCCAGAGGTCCCGACCCTTTCCCCATGACCGGCTTTGCATCCTGAGTCGTTTTTCGACGCTCCCGAGGCCCGGTGGGGGCCCCAGAGGCCGAGAATAGCGAAAAACTTCCCGTCGTGATTTTTTCACGACGCGAGGGGATCTGGGGACCGTGCGGTGGCGGGCCGCGGGGTGGCCTCGGAACCCCCAGCGACCTCTCCGCGCGGTCCGTGCCACCGAAACAGCTCTGGGGCCCTGGAGGCCCCGGGCCCTCCGGGGCACCTGCGGAGGAGGACCCGCGAGTCCCAACACCGCGCGGTGCCGAACCCCCACGGACTCACCACACGGTGCGGTCACCACACCGCTCGGAGGCCCCCTGGAGTCCCAGACCCCCTCGAGTTATGAAAAAGTCACGGCGGGAGGTTTTCCATTATTTTTGGCCTCTGGGGGCCCTTACCGGCCCTCGGGACCGTCAAAAAACGACTCAGGACGAAAAACCGGTCCTGGGGAATGGGTCCAGACCGCTGGGGGTCGACGTCATGAAAAATTCATGACGTCGGGGGTCTGGGGTCTCAACGTCGGCGAGGAGAACAGGAGACCGTTTTCATTCTCCTGGCGATACCGGTCGTGCCCGGGGCGGGGAGAAGGGGGGGGGGCCAGTCACGTCATGATTCGTGCCGTCGCCGTCCGGGAATGCTTAGGAGATGGCGAATTACTTCACGGCGCCGGCGCGAGTGATGACCTGCGGGGGCGGGACCAGTCACGGGCGTTATCGCGACTAATCAGGACCGGGCTCCGGCATCGACGACGTGAACTGGGTTGAGCGCAGGAGCTCGCCACCGAAGGAGGGGCAACACAAAGCCAACACTTCAGAAACATGCAGGCATGGACAACAGTCAGGTCTGGCCAGGACCCCAGGTAAGGGGACCCGGTCAGTGGCAGGGCCCCGGAGCCCGTGAATTGGCCAGAATCACTAAACCAGGTTTGCCGTAGCTTGTGCGCCCCCGGTACAGATCGCTAAACCAGGTTCCACTAAACCGAGTTCTGCCAACGCCCGAAACAGGGTGTGGATTTCTGTTTGGCGCGGCACCCTCCCTCCCGGGCTCGAGAGGATGAGTCCCCGTTGCTCCCTGACAGTGGGTCTAGTTTTGGATTCCCAGGCTCCAGCGCCCTCTGGGAGCCCTGCTTGCGGAACGTCCCCCCACCTCGCCAGCCCGGCATGTTCGGTGGCAGCAGCTCGAACGGATGAGGACGAGAATGATGAGAATGAGGATGATGCTGCTCATGGTGGTGGTGATGATGGTGCTGGTGCTGGTGCTGGTGTTGGTGATGATGATGATGCTGATGATGATGATGATGATGATGATGATGATGATGATGATGATGATGATGATGATGATGATGATGATGATGATGATGCTGATGATGATGATGATGATGATGATGATGATGATGATGATGATGAGAATGATGATGAGCGTACGATGATAACATGATGAGGCTGAGGAGAGGAGGATGACAGCAGCAGGCGACGGAGGTGCACACCATGCTGATTAGGGTGATGAGGACGGTGGAAATGCTGATGATGATGCGATGAAGATGATGGAAGGAGGAGGAGGGAGAGGAGGAGGAGGAGGAGGAGGAGGAGGAGGAAGAGGAGGGGGAATAATATGAGCATTAATAGTAATAAGATCAATACGAATCATAAAAAAAAACAATAATAAGAAGAATAGGAAGAAGACGAGAGCCGTCACATGCACCACCTTTCGTCTTCACTTCTCGGGGGCCCTCATGGGCTTCATTCATTTGGGTCGTATTGGGACCCGCCGAGTTGGGTCTGATGGAGCAGTGCTTTGCGGCGGCCTGCAGTGTAAGCAGCACCGGCGGCAGCAACACCGGAGCTGATGGCGGTCACCGTCTCCAGAGAGCACCTCTCGGCCTCGAGCGAGCCACGCCGTCAGCACTCCTCGGCCTCCGCGGCTTGCATTTCTACCGCCTCCGCGCCTGGGGCCGAGGAGAGCGCGTCGACCAGCCTGCCCACGCAGCCGAGGAGCCCATGCAGAGCCCTCGAGGAGGCCGCGCCAAGCCTGTCAGCCCCGAAGGACGCCCACGCGAGGGTTTGCGCGGCCGCCTGGCGAAGAGCGGGCCCGTCGAAGTCGAACAGCCTCGCAGATTGAGCCATGCACCCGCCCTTCGCGCCGACAGCTGGCGCCGGCGGAAGCGGCAGCAGCGAGCGCAGGTCCATGCGCCGCGGGAGGCGCTCTTGTGGCGGCCTGGAGTGGGAAGGGAGAGCAGCAGCCTTCAGCCTTGGCCCTGCCCTGGCCGCTGGCCCCGGCCGCTGCATCGCGAGGCCATGGCAGCTTGCGACTGCTGCCTGCAGCGACCATCCTGCGGCCGAGGGATGCAGAACGACGACGACGACGACCAAACGCGGACGCAGGGGGAGAGGGGTCGCGAAACGCGGGCCCGAGCTCCTTGAGCAAAATGGCCTTGAGCCACAACTTGCCTCCTCCTCTTCCTCCTCCTCGGCTTCCCATCCCGAGCCGCGTGTGGACGGCCCCGAGGCGCGGTCAGGGCCCTCCAGAGGCTGAGAACGAGCCTCCGTCCAGCGTCGGCGTCGACTCGGCGTCGGAGGAAAAGGATGAGGATGAGGAGGAGGAGGAGGAGGAGGAGGAGGAGGAGGAGGAGGAGGAGGAGGAGGAGGAGGGAGGGAGTGGGGAGGGGGGGAGATGGGAGGAGGAGGAGGAGGAGGAGGAGGAGGAGGAGGAGGAGGCGGAGGAGGAGGAGGAGGAGGAGGAGGAGGACAAGGAGGAGAGGAGGAGGAGGAGGACAAGGAGGAGGAGGAGAAGGAGGACAAGGAGGAGGAGGAGGAGGAGGAGGAGGAGGAGGAGGAGGAGGAGGAGGAGGAGGAGGAGGAGGAGAGGAGGAGGAGGAGGAGGAGGAGGAGGAGGGAGGAGGAGGTGGGTGGGAGGAGGAGGAGGAGGCGGAGGAGGAGGAGGAGGAGGAGGAGGAGGAGATGGAGGAGTTGGAGGAGTAGGGGAAGGGGGAGGAGGAGGAGCCGCCGCCGCCGCCGTCGTCGTCGCCTCCCGCCGCTGCCGTCGTGTGTAGCCGCGGGCGCAGGCAGCACTCGCTCGGGCTGCGCGGCCAGGACCAGCTCGATGACGTTCTCGGGCGTGCGCCGGCCGCAGGGCGACGCGCACAGCGGCGCCAGGCCTCGCCCTCGGCCTGTGGTGTTCCAGCTTGCTTTAGCCCTGAGCACCAGCGAGAATTTCGAGCACCAGGAGAGTGCCGAAGCTGGAGGGTTTTTTCACGTGTCGTGCTGGGCCCTGGGACACGCTCGTTCGACACTGTTCCGACACTGCTTCGGCACTGGTTCGACGCTTTTCCGGGTGCTCGAAACTAGTTCTGGGATTGCGGTCTTCAAGTACGATGGGAGCAACAGAACCCTCGGCCTCGTCTCGAGTCGTTCCCAGCGTCAGAGGTCGGGCGGGGCCAGGACGCGGACAAACCGGCTCGGAGAAGAGTTTTGCAGCAGAAGGGTTGGGTCCAGAGGCCGCCGGGTCGAGATGTTTGACGACGTTTCGCAGTGTGCGTTCGTGAGGTCGGGTCCCAGGAGCTCTCGGGCTCTGGGGTCCAACGGGGCTAGGACGAGGATAATAATCCGCTCCAGAGCGTTACAGAACGCTCTCAGAGCATTCTGGAACGCTCTGAGAAGGCCGCAGCGCCCGATACATCCGTCAAAGCCGCCGGATCTCGGAGGTTCTCGATTTATCCTCACCCGATTGTCTCCTCGTCCTGGCGTCGTCTTAAGGTACCTCGGGCGTGGCGTAATGGGGAGCCCTGGGGGCGATAAGTGGGGGTGTGAAGGAAGGTGCACCGGGAGGCCCTAGGGCGAAAGGTGCGTGTTTCTCCCCCCCAATGAAGCAACGCCCAAGTGCCGATGCCGCTGCACTTGCCTCGTGTTCGTCTTGTGGGGCCTCCTGCGAGGCCCTCGTCGCCACGGCTGGATCCGCCGCGAAGTCCTGGTCAGATCGCACCCTGTGAGAGGTCTGGGGAGGAGCGAGGTCTGCAAGTACCTGTTGCTTGCCGGCTCCGCGGCCGTCAAGAAGCGGCTCAGGCTGTAGGCCTGTCGGGGGCCCCCAGTCGGTCGGTCGGTCCAGAGCGCTCTGGAACGCTCTCAGAGCGTTCCGGGTTCCGGGTGCCCCACCCGATTAATTTGTCCTCGTCCTGGTTCGTCTTGCCCCGAGTGGTGTGGTGACCACACCGTGTGGCGGGTCAGTGAGGACATCCGGGGTGGCCGCACGGCTTCGGCAGGCGGGGAGCGTCCTCCGTCCTCCTTGCATGTCTCCGGCGACCCCGGGGCCTCCGTGGTCCCAAAACCTCGCCAAGGGCTTGTCGACTTTTCGCCCATCGACTTGTGGGGATCGAGCCAGATAAATCCAGGCAAACGGCAGAGATCGGAGTAGATCCACGTAGATCCAGGTACATCGAGGTAAATCCACGTAGGTCCAGGCAAATCCAGAGATCTCCAGGGAAAGCTGGAGCAGCTCGCGGCCGCTCCAGCGCGAGTCGAGGGACGACAGAAGTCGTTAAGCCTTCAACGAGAGCCGTGCGGTGACGGCGATGTCTGCTGGGACCTGGTGTTAGGTCGGGCGTATCCTTCTACAGGAGGAGTATTCAAACATAGTAAAAAATTGTCGCGGGACGATTTTTCGGTTATGTTTGAACATGTGTTGAATATTGTTTGATTATCTTTTACTTTTTCGTCCAAAATCCGCCTGTAGGGGGACATGTCCGACCTAGATCTGGTGGTCACCGCGCGGTCTCTCGCCGCACCGTTTCGGGCGGGACCCCGGAAGGCCCCAAGGCTGGTCCCGAGGATGGGCCCAGGAGCCCAGGCGTGGAGTCATCGGGCCATCGGGTCATCGAGAGCAAAAGAACCCTCGAGCCATCGAGAACAACAGAAGGGAGGGTTTCTCCGAAGGCCTTAGGCGACCCGTCCTCCTCCTCCTCCTCCTCCTCCTCCTCCTCCTTCTCCCCCTTCTCCTCCTCCCCCTCCTTCTCCTCCTCCTCCCCCTCCTCCCACTCCCACTTCTCCTCCGCCTCCTCCTCCTCCTCTTCCTCCTCCTCCTCCTCCCTCCTCCTCCTCCTCCTCCTCCTCCTCCTTCTCCTCCATCTCCTCCGTAGCCATTTTGGCTCAAGCCATTTTGGCTCAAGACTCAAGTCGTTTCCCCTCGGGGCGGGGCCCCGGGTTCCGCGCGCGTGCTTGGAAACGACGTGCGCGCGGGGGCCATGCAGCAATGATCCTCCGCCTTGTCGTGCCCGCCCACCTGCTTGCCTGCGCCGGCTGCCAGGACGCCCTGGCTCGCTTCGCGAGGAAGTTCGGGGAGGAGGGGCTGCAGGTAGACGAGGGGCAGGTCACGCTGCTCGATGGCGGGACAGGAGGTGCCGTCGAAGGCCGGCCCGCAGGCGCAGGCGGACCTCGCGGCAGTGTGGCCGGGGTGTGGCCCGATGGCGGCGCAGTCGCTGGGCGATGGGCCCCTGCCGGGGCCCAAGGACAGGGCCGAGCAGCAGGCGGTGCCGAGGAAGGCGCCGGAGGCGAAGGAGGAGAAGGTGCAGGGCGAGAGACCGCCCTGGCGCACTCGGCCGCGGACGCCGACGCGCCGCGCAAGCCCAGCGGGCAGGCCAAGGAGCACGCCGAGGTGCTGAAAGAAGGGTGGGTCCTGGGGGGCGAGCTGTGGCACACCACGGGGCGCTTCAGGATCCAGGCGGAGCCGCTGGCGGCCGCGGGCAGGAAGGTGCGGAGGACGCAGGCGCAGCAGGCGTTCGACACGATGGTGCATCAGCTCGCGGAGGAGCTGGAGGCCACCCGTGGACAAAGCCAGGAGGTGAAGGAGGAGAAGGAGCTGCCGCACAAGCCCGCCCCGTTCGAGGCCGTGGACCGCGAGATGACGGAGGCGGCGAAAAAGCGACAGAGAAGCCCATCTTCGTTGTCCAGCGACTGGGGCGCGAAGTGGAAGCGGCCCAACCGCTGGACCGCGGCGAAGCGGAAGGCGGCGCCGCCATGAAGGAGGGCGGCGGGTTCGAGAGGACAGGTGGACATCACCAAGAAGGACGTTAGCACGCTGGAGATGGTCCTGGACGCTGCGGAGCTCGTGGGGTCGTCCGCAGATCAGGACTGGAAGGCGCCCAGCGCTCCGTAAGGGGGCCAGGGGCTCACCTTCAATGTGCGGCGGAGGGGGCCCGATATCCACTCCATCGCGGACCAGAAGGTGGCTGGCGACGACGATGGCCCCGACGCCAAGTACAAGGACGAGCCGAAGGACGAGGTGCGAGCGGCGGTCGCTCGGGGCTTGGCCGCAGTGCCGCCGTTCCCCGTGCTGGGCGACTGGGCCGCGCTGCGTGCCGCCAGCGAGAAGCTCTTCATGAAGCAGGAGGCGGCGCTGGCGGCCCAGCGCCTCAGGGACGACGTGGTGGTGCAGGTGCTGCGCGCCGAGGGCCAGCCTGGCCTGCCCGCCATCGAGGAGGAGGTCATGGCAGAGCTGGAGCGGCAGCAGGTGGAGAGCATCCTCGGCGCCCTGTCCACGGGTGGCATCGCGGAGGAGGCCACACAGCATGGCGTCCCCATTCAGGGATTCATCGCGTGGCTCGTCGGCTCATACGGCGAGTCGGCGCGGGACCACATTCAGAGTTCGTAGAGGTTCTCGCTGGACACCTCGTTCGGCCAGTTTTGCCGTGACGGCCTGCTGCGCTCCTCCGGGCTGCTGTGGGCCATCTTCGTGAGAGGTGGGGGGGGGGGCCACCCTTTTCTCCCCCGTTGGCCGTGGCGCTTCGGGGGGGGGCCCTGGTGGCTCCCTGGCGCGTGCGGCTGTTCTCTCCCGCCTCTGGGGAGGGGGGAACGGCGGGTCTCGCCCTGGAGGGGGCGAACCTTTGGGTTCGTCGCTCCCGTTCGTGGGCCTGCTGGCTCCTCGGGTCGGGCCTGGTGCCTGGCCTGGGCCCTTCTGGGCCTGCCGCCTATGGCCTTCGGGGGGGGTCTCGGGCGTCTCTCCCGTGGGCGGTGGCGCCGCGGCCGCCGTGCCGGGCGAGCGTCCCCAGACGCTCGAGGTAGTCTTCAGTCTTCAGCCTCCTCCATCTCCTCCTCCCCCTCCCCCTCCTTCTCCTCTTCCCCTCCCCCTCCCCCTCCCCCTCCTCCTCCTCCTCCTTCTCCTCCTCCTCCTCCTCCTCCTCCTCCTCCTCCTCCTCCTCCTCCTCGGGTCGCCTACGGCCCCGGTGGAGCCGTGCTCAAGAGAACCCCTGAACCCGTTACCGTACAACCGCGACGAAGACGTGGCTTCACTTAGGTCCCCGTCTTCGCACGAGGGACGGGATACATCGGGGTGGTTTGGACTGATGCATCTGCAGAGAAGACCCCTTATCCCTAGTGTTTGTGGCTCTCGTAAATATAGGTCCCCTCCCGAGGGGTAAGGGGTACTTTTGTGGACAATCGACGTCGTGGGCCCGTGTCCTTCAAAGGGCAGCCACCGTTGCCGAACGAGGACCCAAGCGTCGATCGATCGGGGCTCGGCGCTCGGGGCCTCTTGTTCTTCTTGGCGGGGCTCCGGGGTTTGGTGGAGAGCTCTGGGGATGTGGTGGACGCCGCCCCAGAAAATGATGAGACGGTGGACCATGTTCTAGGGCTACCCCTACCACGTGGGTGGTTTCGTTTGGCGCATGTACGAGAAAATGATCCCGACCCATGATGTGTTTTGACCTACTGACTTAGGTCGCCTCCCAAAGGATTAGAGGTATTTGGGTTGCTTATCAGCGGAGGGAAACAATTAGTGGACAGTCCTCCTCTCTTCAAAATTCAAAGTTGGCACGCTGGGGCATTGGCAGATGAATGTGGTCCGGGTTGTTCGTTCATTTCTTCCCAGGCCTGTATGGGCTCCCGACCCCATTACTCTGTGGCAGTTCTGCGCCCCCCCAGGCCCGATAACGGACACTTTGGACCAACATGGAGGAACGACGTCGGGAGTTAATTCACGTTAGCCAGCGTGGGCCCCAAACAGCGTGTGTTCTAGCAAAACATGTGGTGCTATCTATGTGAAGCAATCGATGTGGTGCAATGTTTGTGAACCTAGATGTGGTACAACCTGCGTGGTGCACTGTATGTTGCGCAGACCATGTTGTGCAATATACGATGTGTGGTTTTTACTTCGCAATAGACGTGGTGCAATACATGTGGAGCAACATATGTGGTACACTCTGTGCGTTGTACTCTATGCGATGCAATATATGTGGTGCAATCGATGCTGTGCAACCTATGCAGTGCAATATTGGTGGTGACATGTTTTGTTGTGCAATCGATGCTGTGCAGCATGTCTGTTTTTAGTGGTGCTGTTGCGCATTCTATGTTGTGCAGCCAACATTGAGCAATCTAGGTGGTGCAATCCAGGTGATGCAATCTACGGTGTGCAAAGCATGTGAAGCCGTTTATTTCGAGCAATACATGTGGTGCAGTTTTTCTGGTGCAATATGTGGTTACATATGCATGTGGTCAATGTGTGCGGTACAGCCTACGTGGTGCAGTCTATGATGAGCATCTATGTTGCGCAATCTATGTGGTGCAATCGATCTGGTGCAACATGTGTTGTACAGCGTATGTTGTGCAATCATTGTGGTGCAATCCAGCTGCGGCGACGAGGCGACGATGGGGCGGCGACGGCGACATCATAGCCGCCAAACCGCCACACCAGCCCAGACGACGGTTGGCGACGAGGCGGCGACGGGACGGCGACGGCGACACCATAGCCGCCAGACCGCCACACTGGCCCAGACGACGGGCGGCGACGGAGGGGCGACGGCGACACCATAGCCGCCAGACCGCCGCACCAGTCCAGTTCCTCAGGGCCCAAGTAGGAGCCCCTGAGTGCAAGCACTGTTTGGAGAATCTTGATTCGGACATTGGTGGTTGTCCTCTCCAACCGGGTTCGCAGCGGGTTCGAAAGAATTCTCCAATCCGATTGTCTTCTCCAGTCGGATTGTCCTCTCCAATCCGAAAGAATTCCCCCAGAAGGTTCTCAGCGCCGCACTTGGAAGTGGACGATTGCAAAACTTTCCAGGGTCGTCTTCTTCGCCGTCGAGGCCGTCAGGCCGCAGCCAGCTACACAGACGAGAAACTACATTTTTGTTCATCGTCCTCTCTTGCCCTCCCCCGGTTCTCCTCCCCCTCCTTCCCGATGAAGGTACTGGCGTTCCTCCTCCTCCTCCTCCTCCTTCTCCTCCTCCTTCTCCTCCTCCTCCTCCTCCTCCTCCTCCTCCTCCTCCCCTCCTCCTCCCCCTCCCACTCTCCCTCCTCCTCCTCCTTCTCCTCCTCCTACTCCGTCTCCTTTTTTCCTCCCTCCTCTTCCTCCTCCCTCTTACCCTGGCTTTTGAAACAGCGGCGCTCTGTAGCGCGAGTTGTGTGCACATACTGACTTCGTTCTTGCAGTAAAGTGTCTGGTCGTATGTTCGCCCTTCGCGCCGGCCCCGTCTACTGTCCAGGCACTTGTGGTAAAGAGTCCAGTCGGCATTCGCGGGTGCTAGAGTTGAGTCGGCTTGAGTGGCGCGGGAAAAAACCTTGCCCGATGTGCTGATCAACTGTTCGGTCGCAAAACAATCCGCTCAACCTTTTAAGCGCCGTCTCCAAGCGCGGCGGCGGGGTACCTCCAGGAACATTCCAAAACACCTCCGAGACGAAGACGTCGTCGTCGTCGCCGCCACCTCCGTGGTCGTCGTCGTCGTCGGAGACGGAATCGGAGACGGAGACGGAAACGGAGTCGGAGTCGGAGTCGGCTGCGGCGGCGGAGTCGAAGTGGTCCGCCGCAGCAAGAGAGGAGGATGAGGATGAGGGGGGCGGAGGCAGGAGAGGAGGCCGGAGGAGGCAGGTTGGAGGAGCGACAGGGAGGACGAGTGAGGGAGAGGGGGAGAAGCGGACGGATGTAGGATATGGAGGTGGATGGATGGAGACCAGGAGGGGATGAGCAGACTCAGGAAGAGGGTGGAGGAAAAGGAGGATGGAGGAGGAGGGAGGCACATTCTTTTTGTTAGAGGAGGAGGAGGAGGAAAAGGAGGAGGAGGAGGAGGAGGAGGAGGAGGAGGAGGAGGAGGAAGAGCAGGAGGAGTTCCAGGAGGAGGCGGGCGCCATCGACGCCGCCGCCGCTGGCTGCCACGGCGGGGCCCCGCGCGGAGCAGGCGCTCGCTCGCCGCGGCGGCGCCCCTGGCGCTCCCGCGCGACGCCGCGGACCCTGTGCGCGCGTCGCTGCAGGGGAAGACCCTGGCGGAGGCCCCCGACGACGCCGCCGACGACGCCGACGGACGCCGACGGACGCCGGCTGCGACGACGACGACGACGACGACGACGACGACGACGACGACGACGACGACGACGACGAGTCAAACGAAACAGCCTCTCGCACGGCTGCGACGACGACGGCGGCGAAGACGCCGGCGGGGGAGACGCCAGCCGCCGACGACTGGGGCGGCGGCGTCAGCGGACGGAGGCACCGGCAGCAGCGGCCGAGGCCTCGGCGAGGAGGAGGAGGAGGAGGGCGAGGGGACGAGGGCTGCAGCGCGGCGGTGCACGGACGAGCCCGCGGCTCGAGGGCTCGCGTGGCGAGGGGCGGAGCCCCCGCCGGCGGCGAGGCTCTTCCGCGTGCTGCTGTGGGCGTCTGGCTGGCGGCGCGCCGGCAGCGGCGAGTTTTTTTGTTTCTCGCAGCGCACGCAGCGCACACCGCCAGAGGCGGCGGAGAGCTGGAGAGGTCCACCTTGCAAGCGAGGCGTTGCCGCGTTCCTGCTCGCAGCGCGCACCGCCAGAGGCGGCGGAGAGCTGGAGAGAACCACCTGGCAAGCGAGGCTTTGCTGCGTTCCTGCTCGCAGCGCGCACCGCCAGAGGCGGCGGAGAGCTGGGGAGGTCCACCTGCCAAGCGAGGCTTTGCTGCGTTCCTGCTCGCAGCGCACACCGCCAGAGGCGGCGGCGAGCTCGAAAGGTCCACCGACCAAAAGAGGGCGGAGCGGCGTCGCTCGGGGGGCGCTCGGCGCCTGCGGCCTCGGGCTGCGGCTCGGGGCGCCGGCTGCGGCCGGGGCGGCACGCGCGGGAGGGGAACGGCGGACCGACGTCGAGCGGTCTTCTCGGGGGCGGCGTCACACAGGGTCCGAGCGGATGGGGTCGGAGGATCGCGCCGCGTCGCCGATGCATCGGCAATGCGGCTCGATGTGCAGCCCCATTTTTTTGTTTATCCTCGCCAGCTTTGCCGAGGTATCGCCAGAGGCTTCCAGGAAGGACCTGGGACTCCTGGTTGGCGTGTCGCGCCCCTGGTTCTGGCCCACCACGCTTCGGTGCGACGCGCTAGCCACCTCCTGGCCTCCGAGCGTCAGCGGCCCGAGCCTTTCCCAGCCTCCCGCCCTGCGGAGCGGAGCGACACCGTATCTGCTCGCAGCTCGCAGGGCTTATCGTGTCGCCGGGGCCGCCGCCGCGACACGCTGCGCAGATGTTCCCGACCGTATCGGGGGTGGCGTGAGGGGGGAGATCGGATATGTGTAGGAGGGAGTGCAGCTCAGAGGAGCGAGGCGTCTTGATGACTGTGCACACTCCAAGATTTCTGCTTCCTCGTCGGCCCGCGCTGCGAGAGACGAATGGCCCAGTACGAGTGGCCGAGTGCCGCCAGAATCCTCGGATTTCCCCGAAGGTACCATGAGCTGCTGATCGCACCATGACATCAGTACCGTTGTAGTATCGACCCCTCGTAAACGCCCAGACATCGTCAATGGGGTCCGATGGCCCACCCTGCCCAGCGGTTTCGCTATCTGGGCCTATCGCCAGTTTTTCGGCAATTTACCGCCGATTCCAAGTCAATGCTTCCCACTCGGAGTCAGGAGCCAGTCCCCCCCAGCGTCCACCCTCAAAGGAGGGCGGCGACGACGAGCATTAGTTTTGAATATTTCCATTAGCAGAGTGCTATAGGCTACAGACGGTCGTCTCGCAGCTTCGCCAATGCATTTCTGACATGCAATGTTTTGCCTCTTTCCTCATGCCCCCTTTGTGCACACAGAGGTCTTGGCAAGGACCTCCAGATGCCCTTGTGAAATCTCCAGAGACCTCTCATCTGCAGACTTCTGAAGACCGACGACGACTAGTAGTTGTTTTGACGTGTGCTGTTGTCTGTATGTCGACACCCAGCGGCATCCAGGGACCTCATGCAGAGGCCTCCGCGGAACCCTCCAGAGACATCCGCAGTCTGACGACGACGGTGATGACGACCGTTCGCTGCAGGGGGAGACTCTGGTGGAGGCGACATCTCCCATCCTTGAATCCTCCTCCTCCTCCTCCTCTGCCGTCTCATCCCCCATCAACATCCTACTTGTTTCCTCACGATTCTTTCTCAATCGTCGGCCTGATCCTCCTCATCTCATCCTTCCGCCAGTCCACCTAATGCTCCTCCTCGTTCTTCCTTCTCCGTCCCTCCTCCTCCTCCCTCTCCCTCCCCCTGGCTATCCTCGCGTCTCTCCCCCCTCCCTGCTCCTGGAGCAGGGAGGGGCAGGAGGAGGGGTAGGAGTAGGATGAGGCGCGGGTGGATCAGGATAGGATGAGCGAGCGAAGGGGGAGGACAAGCCAAGTGCGCTTGCGTTATATCTGGCATCCGACCACTCCCTCCCAGCCCTCCCCATTCCGCTGATGATTGTTCTATCCGCGGACGCGTGTCATAGCCTACCTGGAACTCAACATAAAACCCATCGTGCTATGCGCAATCGGAACAGGGGAGTTGCGTACCTAGGAGGAGGGGGAGGAGGAGGAAGAGGAAGAGGAGGAGGAGGAGGAGGAGGAGGAGGAGGAGGAGGAGGAGGAGGAGGAGGAGGGGGAGGAGGAGGAGGAGGAAGGGTGGGGGAAGGGGAGGAGGAGAAGGAGGAGGAGGAGGAGGTGTCGGGTGAGCAGGAGGGTGAGCGGGAGAAAAGGAGGAGGATGAGGAAGGAGGAGGAGGACGAGGACGAACGGCAGCAGCAGGATGAGCAGGATGACCAGGGCACGGCGGAGAAGGGGAACCGAGGCGGGGCGACGACGATGAACAAGAACTCGGATCCAGCCCGCGCTGGGGCGAGAGCGCCATTCTGAACGACGGGAGCACAGCGCTGATCCAAACATCAGGGGACGTTGCAGCGGGAACTCGACTTTGAAACACCGAAAGTAGTCGCATGGTGCACAACAGTTCGCAGGAAAGCCACAGTTTGGCGTTCTTGGGCCGTCTTGGGGCCCTCTTGCAGCCTTCTTGGGGCTCTCTCGGGGATCTCCCGGGAGCCCTGGGGGGCCTCTGGAGGACAGATTAGCGGCCATGGGTCAAAGAGGGGGCCTTTCATCTAGACCCCCATGCGGGACCTTCAACATCGCCTCTGGGGGGCCCTCTTGGGGCGCTCTTTGGGCCGTCTTGGGGGCCTCTTGGGCAGCTCTTGTGCCATCTTGGGGCCATCTTGAGGCCTTAAAAACTCGCCTCGGAAGCGACATGGCGAGAAGACACAACTCATTGATATCCGTTTGACAGGTTTTGTGATCGTGGGGGGGCCCTGAGGGGTCTCCGAGCGCACTCGTAATCGTCTTGTGGCCCTTTCTAGGCCTCTTCGAGGTATGTCGGAAGCTGCCTTGAGCCATCTTGGCGGCCATCTTGGAGCATGGGGAGCCCTCTTGGAGCCATCTTGGGCCATCTTTTGCGCCCTGACGACTCGCGACCCCCCCCACCCCCCAGACACACAGACACACACAGACACACACAGACACACACACACACGCAGACCACACACACACACCACATACACACAGACAATCAAACACGCACACATTAACAAACACAAGAACAAGCACAAACACAAGCACAAACACAATCCATATCATCCAGGAAGGGGAGGGGTAGGGTATCCTTCCCCGAAGTGAAGAGGGGCTCTGGAAGAGGAAAGGAAGAAACCATTGGACCACCTACATACGCCCAGAGGGCTGGTGGGACTGAGGAGAAGGAGGCGGCGGAGGAGCAGCAGGAGGAGGACGGGCAGGAGTGAAAGGAGCTCGATCGGCATCGTGGCACAGACGGCGAGTCACCACCCACCAATCCACTCCAACCCAACCCGAAGGCCCCCCAAAATCTCCGTTCCCAGTTGTGGGGGGCGGCGTCGGGTACATTGAAAAACACAGATGGAACCCGTACCCCCCCCAACTCGCAATTCGGGTCTTCGGGTTGGGTTGGCGTGGTCTTGGCAGGTAATCGACGGGGAGGTGCGCCACCGACGGCGGCGTCGTTGCGACGACGGCAGGCAACCTGCCGCCGTGATCGACGGCGGGCGATGCCGACGAGCGGCGAGCATCGAGCGGCGAGCGGCGGGCCACGGGAGGCAACGGCGAGCGACGACGAGCGGCGACGGCGAAGGGCGACGGCGACGGGCGGCAACGGCGACGGGCGACGGCGATGAGGGACAGTGCTGGACGGCGGCGACAAGCGGCGACGTGGAGGGAATGGAAAGGGGGGGGGGCGGCGATGGCTGCAGAAGGGGGCCCCTCATGGGGCCCGCAAAGGGGCCCTTCAGGGCCCAGGAGGGGCCCAGCGGGGCCCGACAAGGTCACCTCTCTCTCTCTCTCTCTTTTTTTTTCTCTCTCTCTCTCTCTCTCTCTCTCTCTCTTCCCCCACGCACACACGCTCACACACTTGATCGCCCCCCATTTCAGTTGCGCCCAAGCGGCGAGCGGCGGACGGCGGCGGCGGCAGGCGATCCACAGCCACAACACCCACGGGGCGCGCGAGGAGCCGAGCCGGCCTGCGGTCGGGAACCTTGAGCTGCCGTGTCGCGCCGCCCGTTCTGGGCCACCACGCTTCGGCGCGATGAGCGTGCGCACCTACGGTTCAGTCCCCGAGCGTCCACGCTCCGGTCCCCAGGCGTGCACGTTCTGGGCCCCAGGCGTCCAGGATGCGGTCCCCGAGCGCGTCGCTCCGCCGGCTCTGGCCCCCTCCCCTTTGGAGCGACACGCGATCCGCACTGCCACTCCCGAGGGCCTCTTTGGAGTGGTGCGCTATCCGCGTCCCCACTCCCAGGGGTGGGGCGCCCCCAGCCTCTTCGAGCCGTCCGCGGAGCGGAGCGGCACACAATGCGCTCGCAGGGCACGGCGTGGCGCCAGGGCCGGCGCGGCGGCACGCTGAGCGGAAGTGCCAGGCCTTGTGCGCTTCGGGGGGAGCGGCGCCGCTGGCGCGCGTCGCCGCCGCTCGTCGCCGCCGTCGCCGGGAGGGCGAAGCCGCCGCGGTCCTTTCGAGAGACTCCCGGCCTCTGGGAGCCTCAGAGGAGGGCGAGTGGAGACCAGTGCACTTGGCCTCTCGGGAGGCGCCCTCGTGGCCGCGGCCGGACGCAGCTCGGAAGACGGGTCCGTGTGGGCCCCAGGAGAGCTTTGGTGCCCGGTTTTGAGCTGCCGTGGTCTCAAGACGCCCTGCTCCGAGAGTTCCCCCGGAGCCCTCCAGAGCTGGAGGTCTTCCCGAGGCCTCTTGAGGCCCAGTGAGATCCAAAGAGTCGAAAGGCGTCCGGCAGCCTTCGATTCCCCTCGAGCCTCGCTTGGCGAGCCTCGAGCCTCCAGTCGTCCAACAACGGCCTCGATCTTCCTCGAACCTCGATCAGCGATCCTCGAGCCTTCGGTGCGGGCCAGGCTGCCGGGACGAAGGCTGGGGGTGAGATGGGCCTTCCCGGCAAGGCGAGCCCGCAACGCTTCCGTCCTGCTCGGCTTGCCAGCTGGCTACCTCCTGGAGGGCTCAAGAGCACCTCCCTCGCGCTCCCCGTTCTCCAGGAAGATCTCCACATGAGGCGTTCCAGAGAGGCCGCGTCTTCGAGGAGCGAAGAGCTGGCATCTCTGCTCGCAGCCCCGCACCGGCGGACGGCGGACGGCGGCGGAAGGCTGGCTGCAGCGGGCGGCAGTAGCACAAGGCCGCCGGCGGCAGGCCGGCGGTTGCCGGCGGAAGCAGAAGGTGCACCCCCGTTTTTGCGTTCGGGCTGTCGGGGATCAGTCGTGTCCACGCCTCTCGGTCTGCACTTCGAGCCGCGATCGCGTCGATAATTGCGCGGTCCCATGGAGACGGTCATGCGCCTGTTTGCCACCATCACCACCACAAGTTGGAGGTGGGACGGAGGTGAAGGATAAAGAGAAGGACGAGGAGGAGGAGGAGGAGGAGCTACTTCTGGTGGTGGTGATGATGGCGGTGGAGAACAGGCCCTCCAGACATGCCCTGCGGGGCATCCGCGCAGGGCTGCCCTGAGTCCATGGGGTCGTGGCCGAGGCGGCCAGACCTCGAGGCCCTGGGTGTGGACGTGTTTCCCGCCGCCGCGATGTTGTGGCCTCCTTGGGGGGAACCTCGTCGCCACACACACACGCACAGAGTGCGCACACACGTACACACATACGTACACACATACACTCGCATACGCACACACGCACACGCGCACACGCGCACACACACACGCACACGCGCACACACGCGCACACACACAGACGCACATTCATTCACACACGCACGCGCACACACGCACACACACACACCACACACACACACGCGCACACACACACACATTCACACACACTTACACACACGCGCACACACACGCGCGCACACACGCACCTTTTGATCGGCGGCGCCAGCGGACGCGGGCGCGGGGGTCGCTAACGGCAGGGCGTGTTCCGGGTGCGGGCCTTTAGAGCGGGTGGGCAAGACGAGGGTGGCCGCGGATGAGCTGGCGGGAAGGGCCCATAAGCCACACACGCACGCACCAGATCCTTCAGCTGGAGCCCATGGGCAGTGCTGCGCGCCCGTGTGTGTGTGTAGTTGTGTGTATGTGTTTGTATGTGTTCGTGTGTGTGTGTGCGTGTGTGTGTGTGTTTGTGTGTCTGTGTGTAGTTGTGTGTAGTTGTGTGTATGCGTTTGTATGTTTGTGTGTGTGTGTTTGTGTGTTTGTGTGTTTTTGTGTGTGTGTGTGTTGATGTGTGTGTGTGTGTATTTTTCCCGCTGCCCCCGCGAGAGGAGAGCGGGGAGGGCCCGGCGGGGCGGTGCAGGCACAAGGGGGGAACTAAGAGGAGCGAGAAAGAGAAAGGTGGGACGAGAGGCGAGAGGAGGTCCCCCTCGCCCTCCTCCTCCCCCTCCTCCTCCCCCTCCTCCTCCTCTTCTTGCTCCTCCTGCTCCCTTCCAAGCGAGGAGGCTGGTGGCGGCTCCTCGGGGGTTTTGTGGAGGAGGTGGAGGTGAACTAAGACGACACACATGAGCGCGTTGTAAGACATGATGTTTGAGTTGTTTCTGCGCTTCCGGCCTCTCTGAGGCCCTCGGGCCCTGGGACCGTCCGTCAAAGAACGACTCGGGATGAAAAACGGGTCCCGCGGAAAGGGTCGGGACTTCCACGGACCGCGTATTGAAAACATCAGGACGTCGCATGTCTGGGGAGCTGGTCGCGCTCGCTCACGTCTCACATCCTGCCCCTTGTACCCATCCCCTCCCGTGGTTCTGAACCCTTCCCTGTCCGCCGATTCGGGTGTGACACTGATCCCCAATGGCAGTTCCAGTGTTCGACCCATCGTTTTGTTGTGCAACCCAGAAGGGGGGCATTTGTGTATTGGGCGAGGAGGAGCATGCGGATTAGCAGGAAGAGGAGGAGGAGGCTGAGGGAGGATCAGGAGGAGGAGAGAAGGAGGAGCAGCAAGAGCAGGAGCAAAACGGGATGCTGGGGGAGGCACAGGATGGGAAACGAGTGGGACGGCAACGACGAGGAAGGACTCGGATCCAGAGTCGATCAGAGTCGTGTCCAGGAACGTGGCCCTGTTCAGCAGACGCGCAGTTTGCCAGCACTGTGCCACCACATGCCTATGCTGCTACGCCTCTTGACATATTGGGGCTCCAGTGCAGCCTGGCTGGGCCCTCGCGGCGCACTGCGGCAGGTCTGATGCACGCTGTCCGATGTCCGATGTTGGTGCGAGAGTGCCACAGCTCAGGAGCGAAAGAAGGACGTACACGTACATGAGTCCACGCTGTTTTCGAGATTTCGCATTCGGCGAATATTCGTATCACGCGGCCGGTCTCGCGGGTCAAGGGGCCGTGTTCATGTACATAGCTGGGCGCGTACGTCCTTTGTAGGCTCCCGAACAGCGAACGATAGGAACAACGCGCCGATGCTGACATTTCGTCAACGAAGCAGCAGCATTATCCGATCGAAACAACAGACCGAACACACCAGCCGTTGAATTATTGAATCGCTTCGCTCATTCCGCCGGCCCATAGTGTAGCGTCGCTGGCACTTGCTTGCGTGCTCGGGGGGGCATTTGGGTGGCCTCCTGGGGCCGCTTGGGGGCCTCTTGGGGGCCTCCTGAGGGCCTGTTGGGGGCCTCTTGGGGCCTCTTAGGGGCCTCTTGGGGCCTCCTGGGGACTTCTGAGGGCCGAGGGCTCGAAATATTGTTTCGTGTTCCCCCCCTGGGGTCCCTCTTGGGGCGTTCTTGGGGCCCTCTTGGGCCGTCTTGGAGGCCTCTTGGGCCGTCTTGGAGCCCTCTTGGGCCGTCTTGGGGCCCTCTTGGGGGCCTCTTGGGCCCTCTTGGGGCGGTCTTGGGGGCCTCTTGGGCCGTCTTGGGGTGTCGTGAAGCCGAAAAGGTGGAAACGCCAAAATCTCTCCAAAACCTAAGGAAAAGCAGTGAATTTTGCCTCTTGGGGCCCTCTCGGGAGTGCTCTTGGAGGCCTCTTGGGGCGTCTGGGGGCCATCGTGGGCGTCTTGGAGCGATCTTGTGGCATCTCGGACCCCTCATGTAGCATCTTGGGGGCCTCTTGGAAGCCTCTTGGCCCTTCTTGGGGCTCTCGGGGACGTCTCGGAGCCGCGTTGGTGCGCTGCTGGAGCGCCCTGGTGACTCCTCCCGGGACTCTCTCGGGACCTTGCCGGGGTACTTTCCGCCCGGGGGCCCCCAGGGGCCGCCCCGCGCGCGCGAAGTAGAAAGATTGTAAAGCAGTCACCGGAGATCTTAGCACGCCTCTGGCCCGTTGGGCCGGCGAATTGCTAAGGCCTCACGGAAGGTGCCGCCGACCGTGGACAACGACCCCCACGATGGAGGAGGGATTCGGGAAGGTCGGGATCAGACGCTCCAAAGAGTGCCCAATAGGCTGCACCAGGCTCCCAAGAGGTGCCCACGAACCCGCACGAAGTTTTGGTGGTGTCTTGTGAGCCTTCTGAGAGTCTCCTGGGGCTTTCTGGCGATTCCTTGGGGGCGCCTGGGAGCCTCCTGGGGGCCTCTTGGGGGGCCTCTTTGGCTCTGGGACCCCCCGGGGGGAGTCGTGTTCTGACCAGGGGAGTCGTACCCCTCCCGGGACCCTTCCTCACGGCGGGGAATGGATCCTACAACCCTCGTCAAAATGAACCTCAAAAATGTTTTACGTGGCTGAACTGTTTGTGGGGAGATACTGGACAGAGTAGCGATGACTGCAAGGTACTTGTATGCGCCGCCCCTCCAATGTCGGTCATCATTGAACGTCCGAGCCATTCCCGGTCAGACCACCTTTGCCCTGGCCCCGACATTGGAGGGGCGTATATCGACATTGAAGGGCGCGCCGACATCGCAGGGGCGTTGTGCCAATGTTGAGGTCAATTTTGACGAGAGTAGTCGGGAAAGGGCTTTTCGTTCTGTGTAACTACGACGTTGTTGTGCTGTGGCTGGAGAGCTCAAGGATGAGGGCCCAGATGCTTCTTTAAGTATCTCTGGAGCGCTCTCGGGGGCCTCTGGGGGGAAGTCTTGGGAGAGTCTTGGGAGCCTTTTGGGAGCATCCTGGGGCTTCCTGGCGGTTGGGGCGCCTGGGGGCCTCGTGTTCCGCTTTGGCTGGCGCGCGCAATGAGGAGGGCCAAGGAAAAAGGGGGGAGCGGCGACGGCGACGACGACGACGAGTCAAACGAAGCAGCCTCTCGCACGAAGCAGCCTCTCGCACACGCCGACAGGGTCCGCGGATTTTAGTCAGGGGCACCGCGTATATCCTATTCGAATTGAGTAGTTGTAAAGACGATGAGGGAGGGGGATTGGGGGCAGCCCTGGGGACCCCTGAAGGTCTCCTGAGAATTCCAGCTGCCCCCGGAGACCTCTGCTGGATACCTCCTCCAAGGCGCGAAGGGGCAGGATAAGCAGCAGGAGGAATGCTATCATATCAGTATGGTCGGACCCGTGGTCTGAGGTCGAGGTCGGGGAGGGGAGGGTAACCCAGGTGCTCTCTGTGCTTGTTGGCTGCTCTTGTGCACCTCAGAGAGGGTGCCCATTGGGTGCTCTCTGTGTGCTCTGACGCCAGTGGAGGGCCCCCATGTCCCTGAGAGGACGCTGCCTTTGGCGCAGGTCCGACGCGTGAGCCTCCGGGTGCGGCGGGCGGGCGGAGCGAGGCCTTGCTCAAGGAGGAGGAGGAGGAGGAGGAGGAGGAGGAGGAGGAGGAGGAGGAGGAGTCACGCGCCCTGGGGGCAGGCAGTCTGTGGGACGCCTTGGGAGCAGAGCCCCTCGGCCCGAGGGGCCTTTTAAGCAGTGGCGAAGCGTCCCGGCTCCCCTTGTAGGTCCACCCGAGAACGTTCTAAGAACCTTTTTTGGCGGTCTGCACGACATTTTCGTAGACCATTTCTGGCCGAGTCTGTCTTGTTCGGACACGCCGGGTTTATGTATACTAAGAGCATTGTGCTTGTGATTCGACCGGTTCTGGGTTCTGGGAACATGTCGTGGTAGGCTTACAGAACTGCCAGGACGGTCGGTCCCTGCTCAAGGTCTCGCTCGCTCCCCGGGGAGTAGGTAGAACCCCACCGGTCCGAAGGGTCTCGCTCGCTCCCCAGACATCCGACGGCCTGTTATGTTTTTCTCCCTACCTAGGCTCTGCCTAGAAGGGTTCTTACTCGGTAAGCTTAAATGGCCAGGCAGTGCAACCCGCCCCGGGCGGTTCCCCCGGCATCCGCCCCGCGGTTCCCCCAGTGACGTTCCCTTAGCTTAGCCTTGCTTATCTTATCTTAGCTTAGCTTATGTCATCTTAGCTTAGCTTAGCTTCATCTTAGTTCAGGTTTCTCTTAGCGTAGCTTACCTTCATCTTAGCTTCGCTGAGCTTTAGCATAGCACAGCATAGCATAGCGTAGCGTAGCAAAGCATAGCATAGCGCAGCACAGCATATCATAGCATAGCCCAGCATAGCATAGCATAGCGCAGCATAGCATAGCACAGCATAGCATAGCGTATCATATCATAGCATATCTTAGCATAGCACAGCGCAGCATGACATATCATAGCTTAGCATAGCATAGCATAGCATAGCATATCATAACAAATCATAGCGCAGCATAACATAGCATATCATATCATGACATAGCATAGCATAGCATAGCATAGCATGGCATAGCGCAGCATAGCATGGCACAGCATAGCATAGCATAGCAATTGATGCTGGTCTCCTAGGGGCTCCAACTTCTAGGTAGGGTCGCACTGGGGTAATTTTCCCCCACCCAGGCCTGGCGCACAAGACATGGAGCATCCCAGCAGCGAGGATTAGGTACGGTGGGTTCGCGTCGTGTCGACCGGCGGCGACCCCAGCGCGGGCGTTTAAGATTGAACGCCGCCCGTGGCCCAGAATCGGCCAGTCGTTGAACGATCTGGCGTTAATGGAACGGCCGATCGTTCAAATTTGAGCGATCCCCGCGGTGTCAGAAACCAACGCCGGGGTCGTCACGACACAAACCTGCAGTATGGGTGAGCAGGGTGAGTCGGGTGCGGCGGCATTCCAGAGCCCCTGGAGGAGCGGCGCGTCAATGCCATGTCCTTCTCCTTGAAGTCCAGGAACTTCGACCAGATACTCAGGGACGCGGCGGTGGCGGGCCCGCGCCCAATCAGCGCGGATCGTCGTTTGTCTGTACATGTAGTGCGACCGCTGTCGGCATCGACGCCAGCCTTGCATGGCCGCCGACGCAGTACTTGATTTCGTGCAGTTCGAGCTTGTCTGCGAAGCAGGCTAGCAAAACGAACGAACGATGCGTTCCATCGGCACGGAGGCCGTCCCGAGACAGGTGGCGCGGTGGCACCTCAGCGTCCGCTTGCATTGTTCGTGCACTGTGGCCCAACTTGTTTTTTCTTGTTTGCGCATGCAGGTGCTTTGGATTGCGCAGCAGGCCTTGCAGAGTTTCATTTTCCAGGTTGTGTTGAATCAGCCCTCCCTCCGTCGCAATCTCTCCGTATCGACGTGGCTCCGCGTCACAGTTTCTCCGTGTCTGCGGGGCCCTTTTTTGTTTGTGACACCTTTTCCTTGCTCACTTCAATGTTTTTGAGCAGCCATTTGGCACGATGTGCAACAGTCGCATTGCAAAGCTCTGTGTACTTGTGCGTCGGCCTGCATTGGGACTGCTGTGGACTGGGACTGCCCCGGGAAGCGACAAAAGGACAGGACGATGTGAGCAGAGGCGTGTGTTGAGCCGGTGGTGCGCCAGTGTGGCGTCCCCAGCTGCAAGACCATCGACCAGACGTAAGAGTGACCTTTCGCCGGAGTGACCTTTGGTGCGGGCACAGATGGGTCCCCAGATGGCTGAAAACGCAGCAGTAGCAGCTGCTTGCGCGCCCAGGTTTGGTCCCCCCGCGGACCCCCAACAGTCGCGCACCAAAGGTCACTCTTACCAAGGGTCACTCGTGCGTATAGCCGAGACCGGGTGCCCGTAATGTATCTTGGCATCGCTCGGACGTGTGCATTTTTCCTTCGACGAGGACCATCGAGGAACATCCTTGATCATTTGGCGAGAAAGCCACGCACGAAACCGAAAAAAGCACAGGGAATGGACGTCCGAGCGATGGCCAGGTCTCGTCGGCCACATACCACACATCGTTGCCCTACAAATTGCCCACGGGCCGTCGGCCCTGTAAAGGACCTCGTGCTGCCTTGAAGCGCGAAGGCTCCCGATAGAACGAACCAGGGACTGGACCCAATTCGGGGGAGTCCTGCGGGCATCTTGCGCGGACTGCACTGATCTTGACGTCCGTGTACACGTGTCGGAGTGAGGAGCTCCGCTCACGCGAGAGGGCTGGTTCGGGGCCAGCAAACGTCGCTGCGCTTACATTATCCACATGTTTCCTCTCCCTCTTCTCCGCGGCCGCTCTGTGCTTGTGGATGCCACGACAATGGGCACCCTAACAGTCCTATCATGGAATTACAAATCTGCATACAATGTAGGAAATTGTCATGGACATGTTCAAAACATGTTTCAATGTGTATTGCAATGTTAACGCATTTTCTAGACATCTGGGAATTATTTGGCAACGCGCTTCCTCTCCATTGATAGTCCTCCGCGGCCGCTCTGTGCTTTCCTTGCCCCGCTCCAGTGGTGCACCCAGTGTCCGGCGCCGCCCGTCGTCTCTGCAGTCGCGCTCGCGCCCGTCAGCGCCGCCAGCGGAAAAGCAGAAGATCGGAAGCTGGAAGAGATACATTACCAGCGGCGGGTGTTTTTTTCAATCCCACGACTTTTTGGGGGTCAGGGGCGACGTCGGGGTGGTGTGGTGTATATCTTTCCCCCGCTTTCAAAAGGGGAACAACGAACAATGTAGACACCAGGATCCCGTCTACACCAGGACCCGCGTTTTTGTGCGAATTCCAGCGCTGGGTCGGGAAAGGCGTCGGTGTATAGAGTTCGTTTCCCTAGAAGATTTGTCCTTTGTCCCTGGGTGGGGCCCCGTCAGCTGGGCTGGTGAAGTCGCCCGGGGCCAATGGGATCCAGCCCAGGCAGCCCAGGGCTCATCATTGCAGGGAGGGCTTGGCCTGCGCAGACGCGCTCTGCATTGACACAGCCATCGCCTGAGGGCGGGCTTTTCAGTTTCGTCCTGTCAGAATCATGCCTGCATGATCGGCGCCTTCAGCAGTCGGCGGTCTGTGTAGCAAACTCCCAAGCCCAGAACAGAACAGGCCCTCACTCGTTTCCGCGCCTGCGCGGGGGGGCCGGGTCGGAATGCGACGTGGCGCATAGTGGAACCTCGTATATGACATGGTCGAACCTTCCGCCCGCCCGTGTACATAATCGTGTAGACCGCCAAGAAGGCTGAGGTGAAAAACGGGAACACGGTTTGACCGGTGGACATCCCTGGATTGAAGTTTTTTTCCCGCGTCAGTCCGAGGGCAATCACCCGTCCTCTACGAGAGCACTTGCCACTTGTAGGAACGTGGGTTTGGTTTCAAAGGGCGTGGCCGCTCAATGACAGAATGGACACTTCTATTTCGAGCACCTGGTGCAGCACCGTTGGCTCCAGATCGCTTGGGTATGCTTGTTGTAACGTAGCGTCATGTCGTTTCTGGTTCGTTGTTCAGAACCTGTGACATCATGCTCGTGTTGTGTTGTTCAACATGCTGGCCATTGGTTGCGCTGCTGAACGAGCCAGCCATACTCGTGCCGTGCTGGAAGGCAGGTCGGCATAGAAATGCGAGCAAGAGTGAGCGGAGGATCGCGGGGTACGGCGGGTTGGTCGTCGGCGAGAGAGAGAGAGAGAGAGAGAGATGGGTGCGAGCAGTCTTACACTTGACCTGGGTACGCGGCTGAAGTTTTCGGTTTTGCCATACAGATTCTCGTTGTTGTTGCCACGCCGCGTGATTCACCCGCGACCCGCCACGCGATCACCCCCGACCCACCCCGCGACCCACCCGCGACTTACCTGGGGCCCACCGGCCTACCCGCGACACATCTTGCGACTTGATTCGCGACCCGCCCCGCGACCCACCGTTGACCCACCAAAATTTTTCCACCTCATCCAGGAGAATCGGCGCCTGCGGCGGCGGGCTTCTTCACATGTGGTTCCGGGCCTTGCAACGCGCGGGCAACCCTTGCCCCCTAACTCTTGTCCGCAGCTGCGGGTGCTACAGCTGGTTTCAGCCGACGTGCAGTTTGATGCCATTCCTCCTTTTCCGTGGAGGCCGTTCTCCCCATGATCAGTGTCCTCCTCCTCCTCCTCCTCTTCCTCCTCCTCCTCCTCCTCCTCCTCCGCCTGCTGCTCATTATCCGGCTTCTCGTCTTGGTCCTGCCCGCTGCTCCATAGTCTTCGCGCTTTGGTGTCCCCAGCCCATCCAGCAGCGATGCCCAGGAGAGCTGCCCTGATCGGGGGAGCGCATGCCATCATCGGGATCACCTCGGGGAGCCTCGGTGGGCCAGATGCCCCGTGGAGGCCTCCTTGGGTTTCGTGGGGTATCTCGTGCGTGACCATTCGCGGCCCTTAGGGACGCCTTGGGGGCGTTTCTCGGGTGCCTCTTGGGGTGTCTTTGGGGCCGCTTGGGGCTCTTCTCGATGCCTCTTGGGGGCGTCTGGGGGCGTCTTGCGGGTCTATTGGGGCCTTCTCGAGGCTCTCCTGGGAGCTCTTCGGGCCGTCTCGGGGCAATCTTGGAGGCCAGCGAGTAAAAACCGGGGCGGCGGAAATTTGCCCCGAGCCACCCTCGACCCCCCCCCAAAACGCCGAGATTACATAATACGCAAACATAGGGTGGAAATGATTGATGTCAGCTGCCTAGCTGAGGCTATCTGGTGCGTTCGGACTGCTCGCGCCCCCCCCCCCTCTGCAGATCCAGGGGTAGGGGGTAGGAAGAGGGGTTAAGGTACAAAAGCCGCAACCGTGGCGCTCACTCCTGCCCGCCCTCCCACTACATCAGTAGCACCCGGGTCTCAGCGCAGGGAGGGGTTGCCATCGGCAACCAGCGGGAGCCAATGCAGACGCCAGCCAGGTGCGCGATGCCCGCGAGGTGCGCCGCACGTGCCAGGCGTGGCGCGCGCAGCAGGTGCGCCACAGTGGGCAGTCCGCGGACCGCCCCACAGTCCCAGTTCAAAAACCAAGGCACAATGACGGTGGGTTTGTGAGCATCTAGGCGTGCGCCTGCAATAACTCTGCACTTGTGCTTGCCAGGGATGGCCGGCCTGCGCACAGCAGGCAGTGTGCCGCCACGCCCGCCGTCCCTGGCACCGCGCGTGTCTAGCGTCTTCGCTTGCCAGGGGCGGTCGGCCTGCACGCAGAGGGCAAATATGCCGGCCCACGCGCCGCCACGGTCGAGACTCGATACAGAGTGACCGCGGTGCGTCCGCGCGTGATTCCGAGTGTACTGCAGCATGCATGTTGTGTTGCTTTTGCCAGGGGTGGTTGGGGGGTGCTGGCATTCCACACGCAAGGCATGATGCCGCCCCCCCCCCGCCGCCCCCGTCAGAAGACCATGCTGCGGAGTGATCGCGGTGTGTCCAGAGCATGGTCCAGAGTATGGTGCAAAGTACACTCTGTATTGTCTTTCGCTGGCCCAGATTCTGCCACAAGGTGTGCTTTAGATTGTCCCAAATCCGAAGTGAGGTTATTATTGTCTCTGGACACCACCGCGAAGGACCAGGATCATCCCCGCATCGTCATCATCGCCTCATCATCACTTCGTCACCATCATCCTGATCATCATCATCATCATCATCATCATCATCATCATCATCATCATCATCATCATCATCATCAACAAGCATCGCTTCCATCGACCAATCGTGACCATCGGCCATCACCACCATCATGATCACACCGTGTTTACAGTCACCACCCCCTCATCATCACCACCATCATCTCCCCTTTTTTGGCACGCACTCACACACTCACACACTTATGTTCAGGAAGTCTCGAGCGGGAGTCTCGTCGGCGAGTGACTTGCGAGGAAGTCTCAGGCGGGAGCCCCCTCTTTAGGGGACCCGCAGCTCATGCTATTAATCCGAGTGGGTCATCGGGAACTTGTGGCTACCATCACTTTTGGCGTTTCCGAGCTTGAATATAAAGGACATTTCTAGCGGGAACCTCGTCTGTGAGTGAGTTGCGAGGACGTCTCAGGTGGGAGCCCCCTTCCCTATTTGGCCCGCAGCTCATGTTATTAATCCGAGCGGGTCATCGGGAACCTGTATCTGTCGTCATTGGCAATCTTTTCAAGCTTGAGCATAGAGGCAGTCTTAGGTGAGAGCCTCCTTTGTGAGTGAATTCCTGAGCAGTCTCAGGCGGGAACTCCCTCCATATGGGGCCTACAGCGCATGTTGTTTATCCAAGCGGGTCATCGAGAACGTATAATGTTCACCATGTTTGGCCTCTTCAAGCTTGAGTATGGAGGAAATCTCAAGCGGGAGCCTCGTCCGTGTGAGTTGCGAGGGAGTCTCTGGCGGGGGGGGTCCCCCCTATGCGGCCCGCGGCTCAAGTTAACAATCCGAGCGGGTCATCGGAAACTTGTAGCTGTCGTCGCTTTGGGGCTCTTGCGGCTTGTATATGGAGGACGTGTCGAGCGGGAACCCTATTTTTGAGCGAATCCGGCTCCTCTGCGACAGATTCGCGAGGAGGTTTTGAGCAGCGGCCGAAGGCGCTGACGACCACAGCTAGGCCGAGGCGCAGGCGAGGAGCTTACTCATGTTCAGGCCCAGC